CTTTAGCAGAACATCATTTAAAAAAAAACTAATAAAGCAACAAATTATTTTCTTTGGCAACTTTTTAGTAACAAATAAGCAACAAATAATTTTACTAGTTAGAACTGATTCTGCTCATTTTGTTCTGCTAACTTATAAGACGTAGCTCGACATGCGTCGAAAAGCCGCGTGTAAAAATCTTGAATAAAACACTCGAAAATTATTTCGGTCATCGCGATACACGTCTCGACATGAATATCTTTTTATTTGAATTTCCAATACAGGGTAAGGTTACTAGTTCACTGTATCTCCTTAATCCGGTAAAAAATTCCGATAAAAAATTATCAGAAAGATATCAAACAATCAATAACATATTTAATTGATGTAGTTAATTATAAAGAATGTATGATTTTGTTCAATTTTATTTTTTATTTATTTGTGTTTTTAATTGTAATTGTATTTTATTTTTTAATTTTAATTGAATGAAATTATGAAAATGATTCATTGTTAGATTTCTGGGTCTGGTTGCGAATTAGATTACCCACAAAACATATTTTTTAACTCACATCAATCTGATATTTTTCTTCATGTTTAGGAAATCTAATTTACCATTTACTATCTTCTGTAAAAATCATAAGACAATTCTTATAGGTGTTAAACTTTGAATGAATTTTTAAAGATACACCTAAATTTATGCAATATTTTATGTTTTATTATTCAAAGATATCAAATGTGTAAAATGTGCAGCATTATTGCTAGTACACATGCAAGAAACAATTGACCATTGATAAAGCTAATACAAATGCTAAAGAATCTTATGCCATTCGATGAAAAATACAATAATTATTTAAATATAATAAATTATCAGGAATTTTAGTATCCGATTTACATCTGGCGTCCTTATCCTATCGAGCATTCCTTTTTTCCGATATCGGATCGGTACCGTTACAAACATTAATGTTCCCTTCAAATCTAGTTATTCAAGGTGCGAGGAATTCGAAACTCGTGCTTATTTCTTTTGTGCATTCATTGTCGAGAACAATCGTTTTATCATGTATTCCGATGCTGGTTGGGACATCAGCGATCTTGTCATTGATCTTGGAGCACCTACACTTTGCTATCATCAAGATCTTAACCACTAACGGACGACAGCAATAAATTTGATTGGTCTGGTAAATTGTCCGAGGAGAGGAAGAGGCCCATGTCCTGTCCACTTCTTCGTAATGGCCAATTGTCGCGCGGCGGAATCGAGCGTGTACGTGGCCCTAAGTAAACAATAAAATCGTTTTAGAGACGGCAGTCACGTAGCAACTACGCCGTCTCGTTTCATCGGCAACACTTGGCGTTAATCTCCTTTCATTGCTAACCGCTCTTCCGCTTTTCTCCTGACGCCTCATGTAAATATTTATCAGTTTCATCGCAAAAGGGACGAGCTGTGATGAGAGATATTCCGTCAGTCAGAGCGAAACCTCGACACGTAGTGAATTAATTCGCAGACTAATCACATTAAAACAATCAACGTTTCAGGAGTTTCGGAATAATTTCTGAAGTTTATGTATAAGTATAATGTAATGTATATAACCGCCCCTCATCGTGCAATTCTAGAGAAAAATGTGTCGTTACGTTAGAGAAAGTAGGCTCAATCGAATGACGGTATTAATGATTTTTTTACAGCTTTACCCAGCCAAAGAATTGTTTTACGGAGAATCGCAAATTTCGAAGCTTTATCCTACCAAAGAAAAGCAATAATGTTATGCCTTATTGCCGACAGCAATAATACATGTTATCAATAATTTATAAAAACGAGCAATATGCGTAAAGCGGTCCCATCGCATTGAGAGCGTTCAGGCGTATAGAAAATCTCAAAAGGATCGGATATAACGATAAGACATTGGGATATACATATATCAAGCGGAACCGTCGTGCGATTCCCAGATGAAATTTCGCAAATCCGCCTCATCTAGCCCGAAGATGGAACTACTTTCGAGGCGTTCCTCGGACGGCAGGATGTCGACCTTGAAAAGGTCGAGATCCTTCCGAGCGTCCGTGAAATTGATGTCAAAAATACGCAATCATGCTAATCTACGATTGACTGCCGGTTTCGACCTCTCGTCCGTCTCAAAAGACCTCGTCGTCAAGAAAGGATGCAGCAACCTCTCCGTCCTTGAGGAATCTCAGGACGGTGAGAGGTCCTCGGAGCTACGAAAAGGTTCCGGGGATATGAATTCTCGCGTCAAGGACGAAGTTGGTGACGCGATATCTCGGAGTCCTCGAAAGATTTCGGTGTCAAATCCCGAAGTCGATCCGCGAGAAATTACAAAAGATCTGAAGAGTAAGCTGTCTCTGACTGACAGGTTAATGGGTAAGGGTCGCAAGGACGTGGAGAGACCCTCGACGAAGGACGAAGGTGCGAAATCACCGAAGGTCATTCACATCTTTCGCAGGAGACACAGCACGGAGGGCTCGCGGGAGGATATTCGTGCGAAGGATTGTAGCGACAAACATGCGTCCTGCGAGACGGACCGGCTAAACAAACATGTATTCTACGAGAACCCTACATTCGTGCTGGACAGTTCATTGGACTCCTCCGTCTCGAGCTTCCTCTTTGAGGTCGAAGAGGAGGAGGAGGAGGAAGAGGTGGTGGGGCGGGAACAACGGCGGAAACGAGATAGCAAAAATAAGCGCGCTGCGTCATCCAAGCGCGACGTGTTGACCGTTGTCGTGGATTCCCACAAGGCCACGACTAACCGGCCCTTCTATCGTAAAACGAACTACGAGCGAGACAAGGACGAGGACGGGCAGTACCTCGAGAACGAACGGTCACTAGGCGCATTTCGTCCCAGATGCGATACCGATCCTTCGAGACCTTCGCGTCCTTGTGACGCGCGGGGCGGGGACTTGCGTGTGATGAACATGATAAATGGAAATCGAAGGACGACCGAATCCTTCGGCGAGTTCGACCGCCCGAGGATTAAGTTTCACTGCAAGGCACACGAGACGGAGAGAAAAAACGCGACGATCTGCTTGCAGAATCAAAAGGTCCACGACGACGTCAAGACGTGTCCTTCCAAGACCTGCAAAGTCAGAACGGTCGATAATATCGCCAGTTTTTGGGCGACCAGACGTGGTAACAGTTTTCGAAATAAAATGACGACCGGTAGGAAAAGGGATGCGAAGGAAACGAAGGATTACGAGCGGTTCGGTCAGGAGCGAGTTTATGTGTCGACATCATCGGGATCAAGTACGCTCTGGATCAATAAGTTTTCTAATTAGTCTAGCGGCGCGCCAGATACACTTTCCTAGGAAGTTAGTTCAAGTTTTCGCGGCAAATTATCGGTTTAGCACTTTTCTTTATTGTCGCATCGATGAAAAAAAAAGAGAAGTCTAAATTTTATCTCTGATAAAATAACACGTTAACTTTTAACTTTTACTCGCGTATTTTCACGCTAAACAAATCAATAATTACCGTGGAAAGATATAAAAGGAAAGTATGTTAATCATGAAATAAAACGGCAAAGCATTGTAGAACTTCACTGACACGTGGGAAAATTTCTCGTCGTGAAAGTGGCTCGAGTGTAAAACGTATATGAGCCGATTGTAATATGATGAGCAAGACAATTCAAGAAAGAAATAATGCAGATCTCTCTCTCTCTCTCCCTCTCTCTTTCTCTCTTTTATTTCTAAAATCGCTTTTCCTTTGACAAAGACTTCATTATTTGTTTTATATTTATTTAAAAAATTTTACCGATTGAAGTATAAATAATTATTGCTACAACGATTACTAAAATGTGTTAAAGACATATTGCTTGTTTGCTATAACAACGGTACAGTTAAAAAACAGTTTTTTATAAAAAAGAGAAGAAACGTTTTGAATAATTAGAATTTTATAATTAATTTTGAAATGCAATTTTGGTAATAATAACTGATCGTAAAGGAATAAAATTATATTCTTATAAAATAATGTTCTCTTTCTTTTTTTTTTATATTTCCATTTTTCTTCTGCAAGTAACTAAATAAAAATTTTTAAGTTGTCATTGTTGTAGCAAATGAGCGAATTATGTCTCTTCGAAATGTGAAAATCGTAAATTTAATAAACTACAAAAATTTATCTTTTTCTCGAGATACACAATATTTTTTCAATTCCCTTAAAATTTCTCTTGCTTTACATTTTGTATTTATTGCTTATTTATCCGATTTTGCAATTTGTTTTGTTTATTTATTTTGCTTTGTTTCTTCATGCGAACAGAGTTCCACTCGTTGCAAGGGATGGAGTTCCTGGAGGGTTTTGGCAAGAAGAAACAACAGCCTCATCAACAACTAAATAATTTATCATCAATACATATCAATCCTCTCTCGGCCCAATCCCTCAACATACACCTGCATGGTATTTTATTTTTTTTTATCGATTTTTTCTTTTAATTTGTCAAAAATACTTCTCTTCATTTTCGCCGAATGTACTCTCACCACAAATTTACGTGCAATTAGGAACAATCTTGATGTTGTTATCATTTTATTTTTAGCTCTATTTGCGGCTGTGGAACATGGCCATTTGGATAAAGCAAGGACTATTTTGGAGTCTACCGATGTGGATATAAATAGGTGAGTAGTTATTTATGTCCATTAGATATACGGTCGCAATTAAGGAATTATTTGGACGATTTACGGAATTGATTTGGCAGCAAAAAGGAGAAAAAAAGTTGATGAGTAGCGAAGACGATACGATCTTGTCTGATAGGCAGATATTTTTGTTATATCATTAGACAATCTAAATACGCATAAATCATTGAACTTACGGACGAAAAAGTATTAAATGATGATTCTTTAAACTCCTCGCGATCTTTGATCTCGCGGCACTCAAAGGATTCAGCTTTCGATCCTGCTTTCCTTCAAAAGAGTCCACGCTCTAGAAAAACTTTCACTCGAAATACACGTTATACTTCCGAGAGGCTTTAATCTAATATATGAGTGCGCTGAAACTTTCGTAGTGCACTACTATACAGAAGCAGTCAATCTATTGGAAATTGTCAAGCTATTGGAAATTGTTCGATCAGCGTGGAACCAACGTCTTGATTCGATTCGACATGAAGATCTTGGAAGAGGGGGAATATCTCGAGAGATTTGAGTCACTATATGTCCCGGATACAGGCAATATCAGTGCAGAAAATAATCGTCCGAACTCGTGCGCTCAAACTTTTATGCTCTTTCTGCGTATCGGAGAGAGAGCTTTTTGAAACGGAGGAGATTATCGTGGTATAATCGGATGGATAAAATAAAAAGTTTCCTCCTCGCTCCAATTGTTCTTCGCGGCCTGTATAATTATTTCTCCGCCGTGCCTGAGAACTGCGAGTTAGCAATTTTTTACACTGGACTAATTCTGACTTTCAGCCAGAACGCGTTAAATTACGTTGCAGCTACGTGCTTCGTGAACGTAAAATATATCACGAATTTCGGTGAACGGTAAAAACATCTCTGAATTGTTCGGGCGAAGGGTATTTTTTGTTGCACTATGATACTTTTGGAAATTGTTCATAGCCAGTCGCGCATAATAATTACGGAAAGCTATTCACTTCTATTTTCGGCGGGTAATTGTCGGCTATTTGTCGCTCAAGGATTATATTATATACGGCATAGCTTTTGATTCTTTCATCCAGTGATTATGACAAAGCGTTTGCTGTCAATAAATAAATTATTTGGATTAAACAAGGTTTCGGTGCCAATTTGAACGATTTAACATGTAGACAAATGAATCTGATTAATTTGATTTTCAAGTATATCTATAGCGACTTAGAATTTTTACGAACTATGAATTACCGATACGAATAAGAGTGGATTTAATTTACGCTCAGCGAATATAACTTTTTCACTTTCGTATTGTGTTGAAAAAGATGAATCAAAATTTATACTGTGTCGTCGAAATTAGATATGAAATTGAAAGATTTTCTACTATGCTGTACAGTAAAAGACATTTCATATTTGCATTAATCTTTATTAAAATTTTTGTGTTGAATTTTTAATATGTGTAAGTATTAATTTAACACTCAATGTAATTATGTTATTTGAATATTTTATGATAAATTGATATTCAACATTTCTTACAATTAGTGTTAAAATAACATAATTTAGTAAATTTGAGTAAATAAACAAATAACATAAAAATAATGTAGTTTTTAAAATGTAAATTTTAAGATAAATGAATGAAAAATGTACGTATTTATTTATTAAAACACATAAAACACATTAAATTTAATACAAATTTTCTAGTTGTTAATTGACGTTAATGATTGTGTTTTAACGTTTTTGTCAAGTGATTTTATTTTACACAATATATTCAACTATATTTATATCAGAGATTAAAAATTCCAAGAATTGGCAGTTCTTTTTTCTGCATAATGCATTCTATTTAAAAATATCGACCAGTTGAAAACAGAAAGAATTCGCATAGAAATAATCCGTAGGCAACGGAAAAGTTACAAGTTGCTTATTCCGCACGGTAGCTGTTACAACACAATTCAAATTCCCGTTGCAAACGGGAAAAGTCGATAGATGACGTAAAACTGGGAAATTCATTTAGTCAGCATTTATTCCGGACTATTTTATATCGTTAACGTTTATTCGATGTCCCTTCCTCCCTCCCTTCCCTTCCCTTTTCTCTATCTTTTACGCATCAAAGTAGTCCGAGGTGAAGTAGGCGAAAGTAATTAAATGTTTCGAAGTGAATCTCATTAATCCCACGATTTCCCACTTGGACGAAACAAAATTTTTCCGTTTTAACGAAGGGAGCGAAGTGATGAGCGAGACAAACGAGACTTAGATTGGAAAACACAAGCGGAGTGGCGGTTTATAATTTAAACAGGAAGATCACATGTGTATTTTACTGATCTTTATCGATTTTCTAATACCGCATGAATATTAGCGGAACAGAGTTTCACGAGTTTCTTTTTGTTTCAACGGAAATCTCGTCTTAACTTGGTACTGGGACTTCTCAATGGGGATAAAACTTTACGATTTTATTTTTACATAACGCCGGGATAAAACGGGCGGTGCGAAGGTGAAATAGAGTTAGACGATGTTTAATGTTGCGTACAACGACGTTGTGTAAAGTTAGGCCGTTAGAGCTTTGGCGTGTAATATAAAAAGAGGAAAGGAGCTAAGAAAAAGTTTGGCGCAGAAGAAAAGCTGCGAAACATCTCGCTATGCGTTGATCTCAAACGCGTTTTCGCTTTGTCCATTTTTTCTTTTTTTTTTTAGAAAAGATCTAAGAGTAAACTTTACTATCGGCCCCATCGCTATATTTGCAATCTCGTTATTTGCAGCGTTAACAGCGACGGCTTGTCACTGCTGGACGTTGCCGTGCTCAGCAACAACAGGCCGTTGGCAAAAATGCTGGTTGCGTTCGGCGCGCAGGAAGGGAACCAATGTAAGTACAATCAAATCCAATTACAAACTTTGCGCCGCATAGCGGGAACTTCGTTACCGCCTGTGACGAATCTCGTTGATCCGTATACCTCTCTCCACGAAATTCGCTTTTCCGCTTTCCCCCTCTCCCCTTCTTTTTCACTTTCTTTTTCTTTTTCTCTTTCTGCAAAAAATCCAAGAAAATTGGCGATCCGCGGGAGATTCCAATTAGAATTCCGTAGTCTCTAATAAAAATGCCGCCGAGCTTTTATTGCGTAGTGACGAATAAATATAAAAGCGGGGACCGTGAAATGCGCAATGAAAAAAAAAAGAAAAAAAAACGGAAAAGCGAGGACTCTCCTCGCCCGGACGCGGAGTGCTTTTTTCGCGACGTTTTTAATAATGTCCCCCTTTGTCCGGTATATCGAGCCCCGGTGTAATTACGATCGAACGCGAGCGACGCGATGTACGCGGCGTGGAATTGTAAAGTCGGTGGTGGTATCTAAACATTTCCCGACGCTCACTCTTGTACTCCGTATCGGAGAGCCGGATAGGTACACGAGCTGCAAATGCATGCGAGCGACATTCTTTTATCGAATGCGAATAAAAGGACTGCGACGGATACCCAAGGCTCTATATACTCAATCAAGTTTCGCGACGATTGCTGCAGAGAGACTACGCGGTCTCTCGAAGCATCGGGTCGAATCGAGACCGAAATCGAATCTCTGGCGAATGCGCTAGAGATTATCGACGTTACGGGCTGCACATCTCTCGACTGCGACTCTCCCCGGGAGAATGGGAATAAAAGTTCGGGAAGATAAATTTCTCTTAATGCGCCCCGTCAAGCAAGACGCGGGGAATCCCGTTTATTAAGTCAGCAACTTGAGCTTCATTCGTCTTTGCGAAAGTTTCCTCGCGTCTTAATTTGTCCCGTTACGCTCGTTAGCACTTTAGCGGTGGCATCGTTATAGGATACCGAGACTTCGAAAATGAAATGTAGGGCGACAAGAGGGGACACTTTTCTTCCGATACTAGAATTTTCGCAAGACAACCGCGACAATCGTATCCCCATAAATATTCCGGGAAGGAATAACTTGAGATTCGTCAACATGCACTCGGTCGACTCGATTCGACGCGCGCGAGGATTCGACAAGTGTGTTTTGAGCAATTTCTTGAGCGTGTCTTTATTGATTTCTCCACCATCCACGCTCCGTGCCGAGAAGGCATCACAATTGTAATTACAGTTGTAAGTAGGTTCCCAATTAATCGACGATAAAACCGTCGCAAAGAGACATACAAAATATCACGACAACATTGCAGCTATCGATTTTGCATGAAATGGCAAATACTCTCTAATTAACGTAATAATCGCACGCGTGGAACAATATACGCCGGTGGTAACGATCGCTATTCGTCAAAATATAACTAACTCTATTTAGATATTTCTAATCAAAACGAGCTATAATATATATGTAATTTATAATGAAATTTATAGTACGTACACATCTACATCTAATATTTAACTGTGATTTCATATATACATTCAATATTCCATATTTCGCTGATGCAGTTAAGTCTCCGGAATCTCTGGGTAGCCACTTGGCGTCGTTGCTTTCGGAAGCGGAACACAGAGTTCAAGAGCTCGGCGGCAGTACTTCCGGCAGCGGTGGAACAAATCTATTGGAACCACCTAGCAGCCACAGGGCCAGTTTTTCCACGCAACATAACAACCTCACGGGATGCGGCGGTAGCGCGGAGGATAAGCAGCTCGCCCTGTGGGAAAGGAGAGCCAGGGCCCTTAGGAAAATGCTGCTGGGTTTCGACCAAGCGCGTGAGTATAATAGATTTTAATCTAAATTTCTAAAATTGTATTAGCGCCGAAGGTGTGTAGGTCTACTCCTATTAATAGCACATGTAAATAGATCCTGAGAATGTTCCGAGGATATCGTAAAAGTAAATTTAGTATATTCCCCACATATTCGAAATTTATCTTGAATTATGTTACATATATGTCAAACGTTATGTTATATACATATGGAAAAACTATACTGAAAATGCTTGTATGTTTTTTGCTATCTGTAAAATATGTTTACATTTAGTACATCTGTTTTGTATAGCTAACAAGGAATATGTATACGTATACAGATTTATATATATTTTTCAGATATACATGGTCTGTCCCAAAAGTAATGGGATTATTTTTGGTGGCCCAATCGGAATTGTCGGAGATTGGATCCATGGGACGAGGTCTTTGGTGTGGGATGTACTTGTGTGCCTTTCTAGCAGTTGATACCGTCAGCAAAGGGCGTTTAATTTTGGTGTTCCGACTTTCTAGGAGTCGATACCGTCAACAAAATGCGTTGTAATTTTTATATCTTGTCACGGGCGAAAATACAGCACAGTCTCGATCGTAGTCATTAAATTCTGCGTGAAACTAGGAAAATCTGGTTTCGGAACGTTGGAGATGTTAGGAATAGCTTATAGGAATGCTGCTTTGTTTTCAGAATCAATCGCGTAACACTGCTCAAGACTGTGCTGCATTTTTGCCCGTGACAAGATATAAAAATTACAACGCATTTTGTTGACGGTATCGACTCCTAGAAAGTCGGAAGCAGCTGAGAAGGGTCAGACTGTATACCTGACATCCCGCACCAAAGGCCCTGTCCAATGGATTCACCTTCTGACAATTCTAATTGGATTGCCAAAAATAGTCTTATTACTTTTGGGACAGATCATGTATTTATTATATTATAATATAATATATTTTCAGTACATATTGAAAGAATAAAAAAAATTGAATTGATTAGCTTGTGTAGCTCTTTCGTCGTATATTTCGAATGTAAAGAGAGAATATACATAATATATCTTTGCGATATCTTCCGAATATTCATAGAATTTACGTATGTATGTTGTTAGTGTATACCTATCACTATTTTGAAAGGATAAATTTACTGACAAGTGCTTTTGCGCTAAAATATGAATTTTTTACTTCAGGCCCACCCGACATGCCTTTCTTGGTTGCGATCGATGTCACCGGAACGACATCGGTAACAGTCAGGTTTCAAGAACCAGACTCGCACGACTCTCCGATCTGTACCAAATTCAAAGTTCAGTGGAGCCCGCATGACGACTTTTCGGTTATTTGCGGTGAGAAAGAAGTCCTGGACATGAAGCAGAGGGAGTGTCGGATCGAGGGTCTGACTCAAGGTCAAAAATATCACTTTCGCGCCGCCGCCGGAAATTTGAAGGGCTACAGCAGGTTCAGGAGCTCGACGCCTGCACACGTTACACCCAGCAGTAAGTAGCGTAAATCTATGTTACCGTTGCAGCGGCATGGCGTTGATTACGTTCATCGGTCTTCATTACTATAGGCACGTTTAAACATATTCAATTTTACAAATATTTTTATGTAATAACTCGAAGGTTGGAGAGATATAGACGGTAGGGTGCCCAGATTCGCGGGACGGCTGGAACAACTGAACATTCTGTTCACGGACATAAGGCGGCCAGAGTATACACAAGAAACGCCGGCGGTGCAGAGGCGAAATCACAAAAAGAAAACAACGATAAAGCAGCTCTTTACGGCAACGAGTAAATTCCAGAAGAATCTCAGGCGAGGAGTGTTTTTAGCGTGTCTACTCTACCACGAGGACAAAGTACTTGTTACCAACGAGGACTTTTTACCCGTGATCGAGATCGATGAGACGTATCCCAGTTGTATCTACAACGACTTTCATTGGCTTATGAAAGTCGCCTGTACCTGGGACGATGTTAAATCCCTTCGGCAGGATATGGAAAAGAGTCACAGCAGCTCGACTAATCATTTTAGGATAAAATTGCTTCAAGCTGCTGCCCAAATGCAGGTAACGTTGTGTATTGCTTATTAATTGCATATGATGAGAACTTGAACTTTTATTTAACCCAACTATTTATTTGAATTCGTTTTGCTCATTGCTAATTAAAATATATAGAAGAATACTCTATGCTATATCTGTTTGATGTATTTTGCAGGCTGCATTGTGCATACAAGATCTTGGACAGTTGTATCACAAACCTATCAGAGACATTCAAGGCACCTTAGTGTTCTCAACAGTAAATTATATAAAGTCGCCGAAATTGGTTTCTGTATTAAACAGCAGGTGGTTACCGCTCAGTAAAGTCATAAAGAAGATTATAACGCATGAAGATAGTAACGTCGCCGATCTCTTGATGGCTAGTATACAAGAACAAATGACATATCACCAAGTCAGCAGTATAAAACTATCTAAGGGTTTATATCTCGGTTATCTGAAAATGCAAAGCAGCGTGGACCTCATACAAGTCGTTGTTCCAACGAAATCTCCGAACGTATTGCCACATTGTAAGATTCGCGATAATCCGCACGTATCCGCGTAAGTATACATTTATTGAAATGCAAAGTATCGTTAAAATGTCACCGGCTACGATCTACTTGATACTATTACAAATTTTTTTTTAATTCTTTGATTGGTCAATTAGTAAAATTCTTTCTTCTGATTGGTCAATGAAATGCTTCGAATTCAAATGATTTATTTGTAGCGTCAAATAAACCTATATGTGGTTAACTATTATTTTATCGTACTTTCACTTTTATCTGTCAAGGGAGGAGTGGGACTACCTCAAGAGAGTAACGCGCATCTGCACGTCCGAGACTTCCGTGAAGGAATCCGAAGAGAAAGAGAACGTGACGAATGAGGCGCAAGGCACGGAGCAGCAGAAGCTATTTGTCGACCTGGTCGCCGCGACGGCGCGACGATTGTTCAATTACATGGAGATCAGTCCGGAGGATTCGCTGGTGCATCGGTTATACGACGCTGAGGTGATCGATCTGACTCACGATGTATCGTTCCTGATCGCCGTGCCGCCTGCCGAAACTGCCTGCTGCGTACCTGGTACGCGAGAGATTCTACTTCAGCGCGGTGACCTCCTGTCGTTGCCCATTCAGGTTTTCGAGATGGTCCATTTGAATACGTATCAGAAGGATGTGATCAATCGTTACTCGAGACTCAGCTGCATCTTGGAACTGGACACCGCACAGGCTCAGCATAATCACAGAGAGGCCTTCAGTTCCTTGGAATTGAGCGTCGCAAAGGACAAACTGGCGAAATTACAGGATCTTCAGTTGCAGGTGAACACCGTGTGGAAGGGCGCCAGATGGTTGATTGACGTTATAACTTTCGCGAGAGATCGCGGCTCCTCTCAACAAAACGTAATTATAATCACATAATTTTTCTGTAATGTATTTTATTAACAGAATCTGTTTTATAATTTTACATTTTTTAATTTTGTCATCCATTAATCTACCGATATTTTCTCACAGATCGCGTCGCAGACCATTGGTATATCTATGAAGGATCTACTCAGTCTGGATAGAAATAAGAACAGCAATAGTAACAGCTTAAAACGAAGCTTATTACAATTACCACCTAGAGATCCCAAGCTCGTGAAATCGAGTCCCGGCCGTGGCAGCTGGCCGGGTCCCAATCTGTCGAAATCGTCCTCGAATCTCCTGACTACGGAATTTAGCAAGAGCGAGCAACAGCTGCCTAGCGGACAGTACGTACGCAAAGGTAGCAACACGTCAACAGCTTCGGAGCCGCAGAAATCATCGTGCGCGCCAATAAGCAGCAGCAGCAATCTGACGACCACTAGTAGCGCGAATCATCTCGTACCGCTGCAAAACGTGAGATTGCCGCCCTCCAAATCCGAGGACACCTTGATCCTCGCCAAGTACAAACACAGCCCGCGAAATCGTTCCGCGACGATAACGTCGGCATCGGCCACCACCAGTCCATTATTGAGTATCAAGCCTATCATCTACAGCGGTTCGTTGTTGAGCGTCTCCACGGCGATGACGAACACCACGAGTCTGCTCAGCGTGAGCAACACGAATTCCGACAGTCTGCATTCGCTGAGCAGCGACGAGTACTCTGCCTCGAATTCAAGCGTCTGCTTGAAACCTGGCCAGCCGGTCAAGGTCAAAACGTCCAAACCGACCGCGAGCGTCGCGGCGATGGCCGCCGTCCCGGCGGATAATTTAGATGAGGAAAAGGAAGAGGCGACTATGATGCCGGCACCTCTACCAGGCATTCTTCAGGTACAGCCTTCAATTTTGCGACATATTTAATACATATTAATATTTACCGTATTAGATGCGACGTTTCGCATGCGAAAAGTTTAATTTTCAGCAACATTAAAATCCCGCTGGACTCGCGACATGCAGTTTTTAAATGATATTTTTCCTTCCCTAGGGAACACAAGTCTAACCCGATTAAAATTAAAAACACCTCACTTGGTGCTCTAGTGCAAACCGATGTAGTGGACATATTGAGTAAGCCGTCACATCGCTAAATTTCAACGTTTGCTCTGCTCGATTATGCTTAAATATTATGCTTAATGTGTCAAAATCAGTACGGCATGTTAATATTTATTATGATCGTTTTATACTCTACAATAGCTATTTTGAAGTAAATTATATTTAAAGAAAGTAATGTCGTATTTTTTTTCAAATAGGCTGTAATATGTTTTATTAGAAAGAAATTTTATTCTAAATGTCGTAAATGTGAATTATTGTAACAGCTGAAACCTCTAAGCATTATTTAGATGTTAGTATGTGGAAGTGTATGTAAAAGCATTTGTGTTCACTCGAAAGAAAAATAGAGCAAAATAAGCTGTATCGTTTGATACTGTTCTTCGCTGAGGAAATGATCGAATTTTATGCACGAGGAATTATACAACTGCTCGAAAGATGACAAAAGGTTATAAAAAAATGCAATGACAGCCGCTCACGAAATAAGCACAGCGAGACAACCAATCAGCGTCGCGGAAAAGGCCAACAATAAATTTCGAGATTTCGATAGATTCGACTATCGATTTAACATGCCTTTTTTAGAAATGGACTAGCAATACAGATGCGCGTTTCGCGCGCGCTATTTAACTGCACTTTTACTTTTTACTATAATTGCCTATAATTATACATCAACCTCAATACATACAAGTGTCAAAAGTTAATGACAGCCGCTCACGAGTTAGCGCAGCGAGATAACCAATGAGCGTTGCGGAAAAGAGCCAACAATAAACTTCGAAACTTTAGAGATTTCAATGGATTCGACTATCGATTTAACATGCACTTTTTTAGATAATAATATAATATATATAATATAATTAAATATATATAATATAATATATATATAATATATAGAATGAATAATTGCTCTCATTTTGAACTAAAAATACGACATCCCTTTCAATCCAATATCTGTATGTAATGTGTTTTAACAAATGTGTTATAATGTGTTATAACTTATAACATCATGTTAAAAGGTATTGCATAGAAGTACGAATTATTAATAACATAAATGATTTTTATGGCAGTATCGTATTGTATATAATTATATATTTTTATACTGCTTGAGTATATATCGCATTTTTTCAGTGTTCATCTGAACACAAAGTGTGTTTGTAAAATTAGAAAGCTGAGTGAATTAAGTATTAATTAAAAAAATATATTTAATAAGCTTTGAAAAGTTGAATAAATATATATATATTCGCTTGGATATATATCGCATTTTTTTTTTCAATGTTTGTCTAAACACAAGTGTGTCTGTAAAATTAGGAAGCTGAGTGAATTAAGTATTAAGAAAAAAAAATATTTAATAAGCTTTGGAAAGCTCGATAAATATTCTTTCTGCGAATAATGAAAATAAGAATTCATGAAAATATTGAATTCTTTCATATGCGTTTTTTTTTTATTCACTGAGTATTGAAATCTTTCAGGCACACCATGTAGGCTTATACATTGACATAAATTTTATATGCGATTTCAGTCGTATGATCTTTATTAACTCGAATTATGTACGCATTTATAAATACTCGTTCATTATTCGAACTGCTGCATTTTGCTAATGGATTCTTTCTATCACTATGACTTGTATATCAATGGCAAACGTAAGAGATATATATTCTGATACCGTTACAGGTTTACGCGGCTTACGAGACTGGTTTGGCAGCTGGTACGAGTTTGAAGCTGCATGTAACGCCGAGGACCACGGCGCGGGAGGTCGTGGATCTTGTCGTTAAGCAACTCAACATGGCAGTGGTCCTAAAGGGACAGAAGGGACCCACCTATACGGCCGACGAGCTACCAAACTTTTGCCTCGTTGCCGTAATCGGTGCGCGGGAACGTTGCTTGAGGGACGATTTTAAGCCGCTTCAGTTGCAGAACCCGTGGAAGAAGGGGCGGCTCTACGTTAGGCAAAAGCAGGATGTTCTTGCCGCTCTTGAGCACAGTAGTAAACACACCGCGTACTTATAGCAGAAGTAAAGCGGTAATATCTCTAAGCGATTAATGAATCTACTTACCGAATAATGTAAATTGAATTTCAGTACGTCCTGCACGTGCAAACGTAACGTTCCCTAATAACGATATTTCGCATAGAGCGAAGCCTAGTCGTACATCTTTAACGGCACTACCGACAAACGAGAGATGTTTTAATGAACAGCGACTACCTGAAGGAAAAGTAGTTTACATTTAATGCCTCATGAACCGAGAGCTACTTTCCTTGAATTTTTCTTTCAGTTTACATTATTCTTGAACGAATATGACTTTGTGAGATTCGGTCATTTCATGTGTATAACAAATATATTCAAAATTATTTTACTCAGGAAAAAAGTGCTTACAATTAGCCTCTAAATAAGTGACATAGTCTCAAGAAATTTAATAATTTTTTTGAAAAATCGCTTGTTAAAGTGTCTGTCTTCTACTTTTTATTTTTCTTATAAACGAAACGATATTCTTTTTATGAGAGAAATTTTGATTTCTTTCGACGCAATTATATTCTGGTCTAATTTTACTGGTAAACGTAGATTTATGTTTTGTGATGTTCAGTAGCCACTAAGAGGAGCGTGAAAACAAACATAAATAATTATTAAAGTATATCAATGCTTCTTGATGGGCAATTAATCACTGATTATGAGAAATCGCGACATAGACAACTTTGAGGGATCGTTACAAGTGTGATAAGTACCAGTGAAATTGAAGTCTATTAATTTTATTTTAAGTGTGTACATTCCGGCTCGGAAATTCAAGCACGATCTGTAATATTCTTCGAATGTTAGTTAGTTTGTAAATGAGTAATACTCGAGACATACTGTTATATTTTATGTACCGATCTCAATGTTTTTATTCGATATGCGTATTATCAAGGATATATGCAACTATAAGCTGCTTGAGAGATCTCATTATTCCTTATGTCACCAGTTCGTTGTATTCAAGTATGATTCATCGTTGCGAAATCAATGAGGGCTTCTAGAGCGCAAGACAGACGTAATAGTGAAATACTTGGATACTTCGAATCAATAAGGATACCTTTTTGAAGTCAGTAAAAGTTTTATATTTATACTATTAAAATGATATCAAATGCCTGTAAAGAAATTTTACGTTCTAATGTCATGTACGACAAACTTATTGCTAATGATTACATATGATATATTTTCTGCTTGACTAGATCCGTGTTACCAGGCTCAGAAATAGGAAACGATAATTTCACATGCGTTTTTTTTTATGTGTGTCAATCCAACGTAGTGTACTCTGTTCTTTTTAAATATTCAAAATAAAATAGTAAATAAAGAATAAAAAGTTCCTAAAGTCTGGTAGCATCTATGAAAACGGCTTAGAGTAAAAAGTATATTTTTTAGGAAATAGGCATGATCAATTTTTATGCCGACAAATTTTGTTGATAAAAATAGTGTAAGAGAAAAATGTTATGGAATGGAAGAAGTAAAGAATAAAAACATTAATCTAAGACTTTATTTGAAGAATATTTTGAATCTAAGGCGGCGAATAACCAGTTTGAACCAGTTTTATAGTTAGTTATTAGTATAGTTAGGACGAAGAGGCTTATAGACTGTTGTACATAACAGAACAAAGAGTATTATTAATCTATTATTTCAAAGATAACAAATTAGTTGTATTTTTTGTTTTGATTTATAATTTCTATTTTGCATTATGGCGCGCATAAGAGTACGTAATTTGTTTCGTTGCAAAGTATTTATGCGCGTTTTGCACACGTGTATATCTACAATTGTTTTTACCTCATTTTAAAATCGTGTAGTAAAAAGGAATTAGCATAGGCATAAGCCTCAGATCAGATTTACCTTTAAAAATTTATAAAGAAGAAAATATCTAATCAAAAGGATGAATTTTAACTTTCATGTTATTGTAAAAGATGAATTTTCGCAGAAATTTTTAAAGAACGTAGTTGACACGTCGCCTGCCACACGTGTATACATAAAATTGAATGTTACAAATCCAATTAGGAGAGAACGGTGTACGGCAGTCGATGTATTAACTGATTCGTTGATGAGTATAGTGTAGAATGGTTTACTGAATACTTATCCCCAATCGCACAATATTACTGCACAATATTTATCACGCAACGAACTTTCCAAACGTCTCGAGATCGCGATGCACAATTTCATCTTCATTCTATCGACAAGATTAATTAGTGCAGCATATATGTACACTTATACGTAATCATTCGATTAACAGCGAAGAAAGTGATGTATTTAAAAAGAAAATCTTCGGCTATCCGGATAGTAAGAAGGTAAAGCACAAGTGACGATGTGGAACGAAGATAAAGAAACACGTATGTATGTCTATGTGTGTGTATGCGTGCGTGCGTGCGTGCGTGCGTGCGTGTGTGTCAATTGTAAATCCATATTTCTCTTACTTCGCCCGCCGGAAATCTGCGATAATATCGATCTGTCAAGCCAACAGTCCGTAATCCCGATGTCCGTGCAGATATCTATCGTGAAATCCGTCCTTCACATCACGGATCCGACTCGGCTGTATATTCGAAGATCCTTCTCCCTCCAAATATATCATGCTTATTGAGCAGTAGTATCGTGCACCAAGGGGCCACCTGCATTTAACAAGGATATGGTGCACATATTTTTTTATCGGCCGAAGTGGCAAAGGATCGAATTAAATTGTTAGGGAGACAAGGCGGGTCTCGCTGGCTGCATACCTAAATCCGTGTACCGTGCTGTGAATCCGCTGAAAGCCCGATGTCGCAGGCGGAGGAAAAAGCGAAACGGGAATTACAGTTTGCAAGTGAACCAAAACTGACCAAACTGACTGGCGGCGTTTAACAAAAATTGTCAGCGGTGCGTCGATTTAATTATGCAGTCCATATCCTCTGCCTCTTCTCCGTTATTTTTGCCTAGACACATACGATCGTATTGTTGAGAGCTGGCGGGCACTCCCCCCGCGCTCTCCCTCCCGTTCGATCGAGACGATAATAGAAATTTTATTAGCACTACGTGAGTGTCTATCGATGTTGAATGTAAAAAATAACCGTTAGCATATTAAATATTACGACATGGAAAAGCGAGAGATGCGCCGAGCCAACAACGAAGGTGGCTGAAATATTTGTAAATATTTCGTGGAAAAGGAGCAACCGCACGCACAAGGAAACTAGAAGATGAAATTATTTTGGACGAGAAAAAAAGAGAAAAAGAGTTCTCTCGTTTCTATGATCCACTCAATGCGATGTAATTATAATTGTACCTACGCGACAGCGATGTGAATTAATTAGTCGAAGTCCGAATAGAGACATTCTCGCGCTCCGATCCCTTTGCTTCCCCCTTTCCCCGGTCCCACCCTCGTGTCCAGAAACAAGGGTCACTTGGACGCGTGATTTGTAAAAAAAGAGTGATGTAACGCGCAAGCGAGCGCGCGAAAAAAATTATGTAGCGAATTGGTGTTTGTATAGAAAAAATGGCTTCGTTTCTGTTGCGACTGATTTCTTCCCCCGTTTTTTTCCGCAGGGGACAATGTACTACGACGGAAACGCACGAAATAAAAGTATAACATTGTATTTGTCTTGAATGAAATTTATTTTTGTTTCCTTATAGTAAAGGTATCCCTGGAAAATAAAAATTAATGGACGCGAAAATGAATTTTTCTTTCTTTTACTTTTGCAATCTTATACTTCTCTAATCTTATATGCGATGTATGTAATTAATGAAAGTACAATTATATTACAGTACATACATAATAGTAGTGAAAAAAGTTGTATATTATCTTTTTAATAAATTCTTCATAATAAATTTTTAAGAATTTTTTATATTTTAAATGTATAAAGATTTCTGAAAAATATTTGAAATTTCTTCAAATTTTATAAGTTTTCTTTGAAATTATATAATAAAAAATCTTAGATTATTTCAGAATTCATATGCGTAAAGAATTTTATAAAATTTTTTAGCATTTCTGAAAAGTGTTCTAATTTATATTAAAACAACTGAGAAATCTTCTAAAAATTTATGAAATTACTTAGACAGAAATTCTGAAAATTCAAAAATTTATATAGAAATTTTGAAAAATTATATAAAAATTCTCCAAAAGAAACATAAAACAATCAGAGAGAAATCGTTTTCGGATTTTATATTGATAAGTTTACCATATATTACGTTACGTTCATTATTGACATATGGTTTATTTCTGTATCTTGAACCTTGTATATAGTTCATCAATTGAGTTTCTCAAAAGATAAATTTCTGAGACAAACTAGATTTCTTTCTTAAAATAAGAAGTAGAGAAAATTGATAAAGTTATAAATGAATTATTAGGTCTGGTTCTAAAGTTAGGAAATTTGCAAAAGTGAAAATGATTATAGTTAATTAGTTTGACTTTTAAGAGACTTGTTTCTAATAGATGTACGATTATACTTAACGAATCATATAATTAATTCTTTTTTTTTCAATAGCAATACAAAAATATTATATATTTGTTTGATTTAAGAGACTATTATTTATAGTATGTATACAGAAATAACGTTTTTGTGTTAAAAGTACCTAAAAATCTAATCAGACTTAAAAAATAATTTTGTTAGAGATAATTATTATGTTTTCAAGATAAATTGTTTATTCAAGATAATCATGCTCAAACTGAAATTACTAGAAGTCAAAATTTTTTTATTTTTAAGGAGAAGAATATCATGGCTGAAGAATCTCCGACAATGGTTTGGACTCACAATCAGTACTAGATCTCTCTTTCGTAAAGCAATGGATAAAATCCAAGTCGCATTACTGATCGCTAACGCCCTTCGAGAGCATGATACTTGGAAAAGAAGAAAATTTTTTGCAGTACTGTTTATTATACTTGAGCATCCTATATAATAATTATTTTAATAGTCCGCTAAAATTATTTTCAGATTTATACAGAGATTTATAGAGAGTGATTTCGAATGTTTTGGCCAGACTTTGAGATTTTGTAAGAAATTTAATTCTGAACAAAAAGTTTCCTATAAACATGGGTCAAAAAATGCTTCCTTAAAGAATTATTGTCTAAAAACTTTACGATTATTTTATACATTTTTACAAATATCATGAAAAGTATGCGATTTTTTACAAAAAAATCTTGAAACAAAAATTATAAAAAATTAAATTATTTTTCAAATGGAACCAAAATAAGTGTGTTATGTTTCGTAGATTTTAAAATAACAATTTTAAATGTATGTGTTAAGGAAGCATTTTTCGACTTAAGTTTAGGAAATCTTTAGGAAATCTTTTGTTCAAAATTAAATTTCTTACAAAATCTCAAAGTCTGGTCAAAACATTCGGGGCCACTCTGTATATCCAGATAAATTTTTATATATTTTAACAAAATCATTCTTTTAGTGTATACGATTATTTAATAAACTACATAATTCTTTTCGTTTCAAAAAATAAAAAAGAGTATATTGAAAAGTGTTTATTATATTATATTCCCACATCGGTTCTTATCTCTTCTGGAACAACCTGTATTCGTTGGACACTATCCAATCCCACCCAGCATCATCACCTCCGGCGAATCAAACGCGCGAACGAGACAAGAACCCGGACCCTCGGCGACCGATAGTCCTGCTGACCCACTTCCGTCTTGTTTCTCGTCTTGCCGCGCGAGAACCACCACCTATTCCTTACTTATTCTCCCACCTTAGGCACGATCTATTCTGCCCTTCCGGCGAATGCGCCGCGAATGAGTTTCCGCCGTTTGAATTTTTACAAACGATGTCAACTTAAACGCAAGACAGGTCTAATCATGGAATGAAAGCCTGAAGAGCGTCATTGTCGAGAAGAAATGAGAGAAAGTCTCGGTAATCCAAACCACCGACCGGTTGCTTATTACGTGATTGCGATAACAGTTAATGACGATAATTGTTAATAATTTACTCGGCAGCCACTAATTACATCAGCGGAGCTGTCATACCGGAGCGAAATTTGACCTGGTCTGCCGGTCTACTTACTCGAGACTAGGGCATACGGAAGATAAAAATAAACGAGACGCTAAAAAAAAAAGAAAAGCCTGCACATATTGCAAAAGGTATAGTTTTATCAGATCAAGCTATTCGGCCTCTTTCAAGCTTATATACTTTTGGTCGAGCGAGACCGGCACTACGCCACTGCGGAAGTGCCGGCACGAATTTAACTGTGTTGCGGGTGTATAGTATACATATACAGTTAATACTCATTGTCGCGAAAACACGGACAAGCGAACGTACGCGATTGGCTGACCCGCAGTCCGGATTCGCCCTCGGCTGACCCCGTTGTTGACTGACCCACTGGCGAGATACTGATAGCGCGCGATGCTACACGGCCAGTGCGGAGTCAGTTTGCTTTGGTATTTAATTGCACGGCGTCACGAAAGAAAGACGCTTCGCACGAAGTGATAACGGTATTTTCGATTGTCTTTTTTTTCAACTTGAAAAGTAGATAACGACCGATATATAATGCATGTAGGTCGATATAGGGATAATCCAAGTTCGAGATTCCTTGATCGAGATGTGCGTACTGGGAGAAAACAAAATAGTTCTGCGAATGATAATGTGATATTTCTGCAAATTTCGATATCCGCAACTAGTTTTATAAAATCATGAAAACAAAAAATTATTTTGAGAACTATTAAAATATAGTCGCGGGTATATAATAAATGCAATGTTATTAATATCATTTTATTAAATTGCATATAACTATTAAATAGTAATTTACTCCCAAAGATGCTAGCTTTAGCAAAAGGCCGTAACGTGGAGAATTCCTTTTTTCGCACGATTAAATTGATATTATTAATTAGTTTAATATTACTATGCTTAATTTAATATTAATATCAAGTAATAACCAATAATAATAATAATATTAAGTGATTCGAACAACTCAACAGATTAATATTAGGCCGGCGATTTGACGAATAACTGAAATGTCAAATCAACTTGTTACCAACTTCTATTTCTTTTTAACTTTGAGTAGCATTTCATTCTTTTAATATGGAACAACGATCTGTCATAGTGCGATCGGCACCCTGCTGAATACGGCGCAATCTGATGCAAGGCTATGCATAGATTTGCAAAACAGATTTTATTAATGGCAATTTTGACGCAACGAGTCGGGCAACGGCACGCGGCTGAATATGCAACGAGCAACGCGAGTATCAATCAAATTATTACGCCAACTTGTTCAGCGTGACGGCCGTAAGAACAATTCGGTGACACAATAGCCTGCGTTGTACCCCGCTCTACAAAGTATAATACGTAATTATACGTAAGGGTGTAATTATGCAGGGACATAGATCATGCGCTTTATTTACACGTAATGTTACTCGCCTTTAAAACTGAAAAATAAAAATTTTTTCCCCTTTTCCTCTCTTCTCTTTTTCGCCTCTTCTTCTCTTCCTCATTTTTTTCTTTCTATTCTTTTCTTGTTCTCCTCGTCTGATTCTTTTCTTCTTCTCTTTTGCTTCTCTTCTTTCTATTCTTTTCTTCTTTTTTTTTCTCTAGATCAGAATATGAGATATCCTGAGATGAGATGCAGTACCATAAATAAGTACCATAGATAAATTTATATGAATCCATCGCGTTCTTATATGTCCGACGATACCCCACTTACAATTAGAAAAGTGGGCAAGCCATCCACCCTCCGGCGTCGCGCGGCTACAAGGCCCGCGGAGGCCCAGAAACACATCTAGCGACCGTGTGCTCCTTCTTCTCTCTTCACGAGAGAACCGCCGCTCGTACTGCCTGATTCACATCGTGGGTTTTACACGGATCTCCCGGCCGCGCACGTGCATGTGTACAATCGTGTTGTGAAAGAATTATGCGGGGCACAAGGTCCGCCGACTGGCCGCTCGCCGGTCGAATTTTTATCAATCGAAGGTTATGTATTGCGGCGAGTTGGGTTTCTGCCGCGTACGCATATTATAATGCATACCTCTCCTCTCCGCTCTTTCTCTTTACGTCCGCCGCGACTCCCTCGCCGTCTCCTCCATTCTCCCTCTTTGTAGCGCGGAGTTCACGATCGTGACTCATAGCCGCGCGAAGGAGTCAAGACCGACTAGCCGGGGATGAGATTTCAAATGCGCGAATTTTTCAAAGAGTGGATTTGTAAATGTGTGCAAAGCACGTGCGATCAATGGGAACAATGCAATCCCTAAGATCGTCATTAAAAAATTTTATAATCTTTGCTATCAACTTGAATCAAATGAAGTAAGATTTTCTTTCATTGTGATAAAAAATTCTGTTCATACAGCATTTTAAGAAATCTAAAAAGAATCGGATAAAATGGATAGATCAATATATTTTCGGCCACATTCTAATTAAATTCGACATTATAATTTATGAATGATGTTCGTAACTTTGATAACTGTAAGGTTCACGAATTACCCCAATTTTGATTGTTTCGGTTTCTATCATTCTCATCCCTTCCAAACGAGGAGATGAACAACGGCAACGAAGAGGACGACGCCAACGACGGCGAGGACGCCGACGACAAACGACTGGCACGACGCGGAGGAAGAAGAAGAAAAGAGAGACGAGTGTTCGGTGAAGCCTACCGACCGGCTATTTGGAACACGGCCGATCAGTTCCTTCGGCGCCTTCGTACCGTGGACGCGGACACGTCCTTTGTCGCCGATTTCGAACGCGCACGTCTGTCCCGGACCAGGTGAAACGAGACGTCCCGGAAAATCCCGCGAAAAATTGTGTTCGTTTTTCCGAATTGGTGTCCGAAAGGATTAGCCGAGCTTTTGTAAATCTGCTGCAAAGAAGCGAAATTAGATTAGGGAGAATGTTTCGTGAGGTAGTTCGTAACAGTTCATGATAAGACCTGGAGTCAATCGGTTTATCTTCGTAAACGAATCCGCCGGCACGAGTAAGTTTATAATAATCGATGGTGCTGGGAGAGATTAGCGAGTTTAATTTGCATTTTGATTGGTTACGTTCGATTTTGGATGCAAATAAAATTATATACGTTACAATTTTTAAATTCTTGAATTTTAAAACAAATTCTAAAAAAATATCTTGGTTTGTTACCTCTTTGAAAGATTTGATAAAAATTAATGATTAATTTTTTGATGGTCAGTTTCAAAAGAGCCTTATAATAAAGAAAAATTTGTCTAGACATATACTGTATACCTGTGTTGGAAATATATAATATAATTAATTTTACGGATCTCATTTTCGCGTTTGTATCTTTTTTTTTATATCGAGTCATGTTTCTTTGCATTAACAAACCAAGCAAGGAAGTTACAGTGTTTTACCTTTTCCGGTAAGGTCACCGAGGATAGGAAAAAGCTCACCATATATTGCCATTAGTATAATTAACCCAGATTTTCCCGGATTTATGGTGAACGGCACGCGGGTCAGAGCCGCACACTGCACATTATAACAGACGGCCGACATGCCTTCGACTGCGAAAGAATAGCAAAAAAATTGCATCGGTCAATTGCACAATGTTATATCCGATTGTAATTAATATCTGTCGTGTATAATTAATAATGTTATAATCAGAAAAAGTTTCGATTTTTTAAAATTATTTTAAAGTTAATTTTTTCAAAGTTATCCAAAAGTTTAATTGTAGAGAACTTGAAAGGTCAAACAAATAATCTTCACGCTAACAAGTCGTAACTATGATTATTATATTAATTTACGATGTCACGTCATACCATCGTCGATTGGATTACAGAGTCAATCAAAACTCAAAAAAAGACAGCTAATTTAAAATGTTTATAAAACGCGGTCTAAAAAATTGCGTGTCTAAGAAGTTGAATAGATCGCGATACAATTAGAACGACGTGAAAATGTATAGTTTTTATCTAAGAGAAGAATCACGGACACACACACGCGCGTGCGCACACACTCGCGCACGCATCGCACATGTATGCACACGCATGCGCCATACACATATATACACACACACTCACATACATGACGCGGCGCTTAATATTGTACATATATTAACACTGGCGGTTATGTCCGGTGATGTTGCGACATGATATGACACTTATAGCCATCAATATACGCTTCATGCTTTTCTTTGGTACGGCGGCTATTTAGACCCTGACCCCCGCATTTCTCAGCACACGCTTATTTTTTTCAATGTAAAACGATGTTTTGCGATTAATACATTTCATGAGTAGGTAACTCTTTCAATTTGTTACATTTTTGTCATTAATATTCAAGACATTATAAATATTTATTTGCGTACAATTATACAATTTACAACAGCCTTAATTAAGATATTAGAAAATATTAAAAATAAGTATTTAAAAATATAATTTAAAATAAAATAAAATAATATAATTATATAATAATTCAACATTACATTAAATAAATAGAAGACACAGGATTTAAGTACATAGCGTTACACTCAATCAGTTCGAGATCACAATCGTTTAAAAAAAAATTGCAGTATAATCCCTGTTAATATTATTTTTTATTACGTTTATAATTATACGGTTAATTATCGCGAGATTACTGTTTGTTCAGAGAAAGTTCTCGACAATAAAGCGAGACGATATCAGCAACACAATGTCGGAGGGTTGCACGAGTTGCAGAGGCGCGAATTATGCGAGCAGCACTTTGCAGTTAGGCACGACTGCCAGTGGCAATACTGGAAGCTCGTCGTCCGCATCTGGGGCGACCTGTACAGCCACGAGGAGAGTCCAGGTTCGCGCAAAAGTGTTATATGGCACGGGCAAAGCAATTGCGAGCTTGCAAGCGCAGGAGAAAGCGGCCAGACACTGACGAGGTAATTAGTAACCGTAATTACCTCAACATTAATACGATAAAATTTGTAATATCACGCTATATATATATTTCCTCTCCGACAGGATGAGGCTCTAATAAGTTTTTATATTTTTAACTTGCTTAAGAATTATTCAGAGGTTTTTGACAAAAAAATTAAAATAATTTGTGTGTGTGTGTGTGTGTGCGCGTGCGTGTGTGTGTGTGTGCGTGTGTGTGTGTCAATACAATCATACCATGCGCACATACGTAGGTATATATGAAAATTGAACTTCTATTGCGTTTTAATTTTGAATCAAAAGTTTAATTTTATTTTTTATTTGTCTTTTATTTATTATTAATTTAAATACAGTTTAACTTAGTTTAATTATATACACTGCCGTCGAAATATTTCTGGACACTAGCAAAATTTTTATGTTGGAGTTTTAAATTGTTGAACTTATTAATGCATCCCTATTATACTGTGTGGCGATCGTGGCGCGAGGAGCAGCGCGGTAGCTTTATAAGCTAAAGATCCGGGTTCAAATCCACCCATAATAATATAACTCTGAAATTGATTTTAATCAATTCGGAAGCGATCGCCGCCTCTCGGAAGGTAATGGCAAACCACTGAGAGTATCTTTGTCAAAGAGAGAACCTCTTCTTAAAAAATGGCCGTTCGGAACCGGCATTAAAATCGTAGGTTCCATATATCTGCGTAAAAGTGTAAATAGCGCACATCGCAGAAATACGAGAAGAGGTCACTACGCTCTGACAAGAGTAGTAGAACTATTGATTGATTGATACTATACTGTAACCTCTTAAATCTGAAAGCATGTTTGTCATACTGAAAATTGCAATGTTTGACGGAATGCGGTTTACTTGCGAAAATTTTTTTCGGGGATGCCGTTTGCAACACTATAAGCTCGAATCTTCCACTTTAATTTGAAAAAAAATGCAAGTCGCTACGATTTTTTTCGCAAAGTTACAGCATTTTAAAATAACTCTTATATTTTTCTCATGTACGGTCAGCATTACCCGATGTGCGTCGCAGGAAGGTTGGCGATCGAATTTTGCACATCGTGTGTGTATGTGTGTGTTTTATATACGCACAAACGCACACAATGTGCAAAATCCGATAGTCAACCTCCCTGTGGTGCACAACGGGTAATGCTGATCGTACAAATGCAAGGGTTACTTTAAAATGCTTTAATTTTGCAACAAAAAATCGTAGCGACTTGCATTTGTTTCAAATTAAAGAGGAAGATTCGAGCTTTATGACGATGCAAACGGTATCCTCAAGAAAAATTTTCACAAGAAAAGCGCATTCCATCAAACATTGCAATTTTCAGTATGGCAAACATGCTTTCAGATTTAAGAGTTTATAGTAATAGGGATGCATTAAACTTAAAATACAGAGTATCTTAAAGTATCGTTTAAAATGATAAAATCATCTACTCTTTGATTTAGCACAGTGCTGCACTAAGTTCAACGGTTTAAAACTCAGAAACTTTTCGACGACAGTGTATATACATATATATACATACATACATATATATATATATATATATATATATATATATATAATTAAATAATATACGAGTATATATGTATGTATAAAACATATACTAAATCATTATAAATTCTTAAATTTTAATAAATTAAAAGTAGCACTCTTACAATCAATGAATAATTTAAGAAAAAATATTTAACAAAAACTTGTAATTATATAGGTATATTGTAAAAGAGTATTATCCTAAAGAAAAAAAGTTAATGTAAAGTATAGGTATTTAACTCTTTTTTCACTTCTTAATAACAGAAGTGGTATAAAATCATATCGTCAAATTTTACAATACAATATGTAAAAAGAATTTACAATGTTATTCTCCGGAAGTCATTGAACTTGAGCGGATGAATATAAGAGATCCAATTCGACTGGATAACAGGATTATTCGTACATAGTTATCAGATAGTCAGCAAAGACCGGAGATCAATCTGGAAAATGCCATCGAGAGACGCGCTAATTAGTGTAATCTCATCTATTTCGATTTGTCTTACCATCGGTATAATGAGTGTTCTGAATCCGTATCCGAGAAACTGTAAACGTCGTAACACAATTATAGGAAGCTCGGATCTCACGTCTTCCTGCCACGTCCGTAGTAAAGCGGAGTCTTCCCGTAACGAGACGATCAACAACGCGGACAGTCGAAATAAATGAGATATCAGATAACGCGCCGAGGCGCTACGGATAACAGTAAAAATACGTAAAAAAAACGACAACACCCAGCATCGACGAACAAAAAGCGAAGCCCGGAGGCGCTGTCCTTCCTCGCGGATAAGACCAGTCGGTCGATCTGATCACTGGTTAGTACCTGGTTAACCGTCCTCGAGAAGGCCGCCGCCTCGATTCGAAGATCCACGCGTATCTCCGCGTGTCATTTTTTTTATTTTTATTCTCCGCCTTTTTCCCGTTTCTCGCAATCCTGCTCTTCGCCATTTCCGTGTCTCCATTCGGGCACTTGGCGATTTCGCGCTACCGAGTATGCACCGTCGAATGTTGTGAGTGCAACCAGGGATCGTGTCACCGCACATACAAAATGCACCTTGCAATTTTGTGAGTCGATAAGTGTTTCCGCTTTTTCTTTGATACAGATCTACAAACATCATTGACAAATCGCATCTGGAATTCCAATCAGATTCGTGATCAAAGTTCATTATTTTTTAAACAACGTCTGCCAACGATGTTTGTAAATCTGTATCAAATTTTTAATCAATCAAGCAGATTTGTGTAAATATTAATTAAATTCTCGAATAAAATTTTGAGTTTATATTAAAGAATTTGGTATAAATATTTTCGCTATAAATAAATCTATATGCTTTTATGATATGTTCGACATTAAAAAATCTTCTTGAAAAATTCAAGAGAAGATCTCTCCGACAACTCAACAAGGTCAATATAATATATCTTTAGTCCATCGTGCGTTCGCCGTTCTACAATTCGCGATCCCGTTACATCTTTCTTGATCCTAACGCCTCGCGGTGCCGAGTTTCATTTAGTGAGTGTTTCGGCTTATCCAGTTCTTCCTTTCTTCTTTTTTTCTTCAAATTATTATCTCTCATCGTGTTATTAAATATCATCTTTGTGATTTTAATTTGCTTCATTCGATCCGGTTAGTTAATATACATATCGATCATTTTCACATCTTATTATATAAATATCATATGTTTTATGATAATATAGTATAATGATGATATAGTAATAATACACGGAAAAACAAGTTTGCTAAAAGATTCTAAAATTTAGCTGAATAAAGATCTGAAAATAATTTTGTTGTCAAAATAATTCTATTGGAAATATTGATGAGCAATGCTGCAAAAAATTTCAATATTCTGGCAATCATCAGTTTGAGTTTCAACTTAGTTCTTTGAATGTCTTTTGATAGTCCAAAATTATCTTCTGTATCTAGCTAAATTTTAGGATCTTTTACAAACAAACAAAACGGTTTTTCCATGTAAAATTATTTTTTAATGTTATAACGTTCAAAATTCAATTTGTGTAATTGTATTTTGTGATAACAAGATTTCGAATACTTATTTAAATATTGCGATATGGGAAAATGCGAGAGGAGGAAAGCGCGTGTTGCGATAAACGGTACCCGCGTACGTTGTATCGCGAGCGTGAATGAAATACTCGTGTTTGATCATGCAGATTAGCTCGCGATAAAGTCAATGTCACGAGTAGGAAAAACGTGACATAAATGTCGTTTGAATGTTACTTTGAGCACGAACGATATCCGTACTCGTGCGCACATATCAGTGAAAGTCAGATTGTTATCGAAATATCATGCAAAACGCTTTGAGCATCAAAACTACATAGCGTCGAACATCCGTTGACTGGAATTTATTTTTTGACCAAGATTTTTTAATAGATATCTATAATTGTTACGCGGAAGAAACGGTTTTAGGAAGGAACTAAAGTATCTTAAAATTTACTCTTAAATACAGATCTGCAAATAATTTTATTGGACTATCAAAATAATTATATAAGACGCTCAAGTTGGTTGCTAGAATGTCAAAGTTTTCTGCAGCATCGTTCATTATGTTTAAATTTCCTGCATAATTATTTTCGTGGTATAATAATAATATTTTCAGATTTGTATCTAATTAAATTTTTTAGATACTTCAGCAAAATTGTTTCTTCTGTGTAGAGTTTGTATTTTTTCTAGAATTGTTGTTCATTAACAAAATACAAATTTTTTACATCTAATATTCTCTTTGAGAGACACACGTACACATTCCTTAGAAAAATTTATATAATATTGTAAATATTAAAAATTAATGAGTAATTAATTATTTATTTTGAATATAATAAAAAGAATAATTTTGTTGAAAGGTCTAAAATTTTGTTGGATACAAATCTGAAAATAAATGTTATTAAAACAAAAAAATTAAGAAGAATAAGAAGTTAAAAAATTGTTAAATTATAAAAAAAATTTGATATTCTAACAATGGCATTGCGTTTCCGCATATTTTTTTATGGTCAAATCTTATTTTCAGATCTGTATCAATCAAAATTTTAAATCTTTCAGTAAAATTGTTTTTTCCATGTAAAAGCACTAGTAACAGACCAATAATGTATTTAATACTTAAAATAAATAACTAACTATTAATCAATTTAATATTTACAGTAATAAATTTCTCTAAAGGGATATACATATGTCACATTATACATAATGAGCAATTGTTATTTTAATTGTCAGCCTCGTCGTTTCTTCCCTCTCCTGCGCATTATCATCTAGACTGAGGGAAGCAAACGATAAAGCAGAATTCTACGCCAAGAGCCAAACATCAAATCACGAGGTAAGAATTTCCGGCAAACACGGGCAATCGTTTTTCGCATCAACGGACGCTCTGGGGAAGCGAGTAAATATTTCATCGGGTTACAATCCTTTAACCCCGGACATCCAAGAAAGCAACGCAAATACTTCGTATCCTGTCGAAGCGGCGCGTCTGAAATACGTACAAAAGCTGTTGAAGAGAGAGGTAGAAGTGGTAGCAGCGGATGTGTTACAGCCGAGAGATTCCGACGGAATCACGTACATTCCTGCGAAGGAGACGAATCAGACGGGAGATGGAATCCGACATGAATTTTTGAACGCATCGGGCATTTCTGAAAGCTCCGTAGTAATAGAACTGGCGGCAAGAGAAAAAGAAAATGGAGGAATCAGAAAAACGGAAGTTAAAGAACTCGAAGAAAAATCTTCCGCCGGATCGCTGAATAATGTGGGTGTCAAAATTAACATTTCGAAATCGAGCAACGCGAAAAGTAATACTCTGCAACAAGTGAAGCATCGAGAATGGAACGATGGCGTTCAAGCAAATGAAGAGTCTAACATCGGTGATACTTCGGCGATGGAAACGCACTCCGCTAAGAAGTCAGGTGATATTTCGATTCGACTGATCGATGCGTTCTCAAAAACACAGAGCGCCGAATCGAAAGCCGGTAATCAAACTCTGGAGAGTCGTGCCGATCAAGAGAACTGGGAGTCCGAAGAAGACGGTCTTTTAGAAGCTGCAAATTTTGGATTGCAAGCTATGCACGATCTCTATTACGTCCAGGAACCTAAATTATATTCGATGGGTAAGCATTTAAGAAAATTCACTAATCTGTCGCGAATAATTTCATCGTATTGATCATCGTCAATTAAATGCTTATCTATAAAAATTCTTCATATATACTTAGAGAAAAATATATAGTACAATTATAAAGGCGACAACTATACAAGTTTTATATGTAAAATTAATGTACATAATTGAATAATCTAATATATACAGTTGAATAAACTATTTTATTGCAACAATTATAAAATAATTTATTCAACTTATGTACAGTGGTAAACAAATAGATTGCGACACTTTTTCTATAGGTTTCTAATACTATATATTTAATATATGTATATAATATATATTTTATAGGTAACTAATATTTTGCAAATGCGAATCACAATCTTTAATCTAGAGACAGTACATCAATCGTGGTTCGCATTTGCAAAATATTAGTGAATTTCGAAACCTATTAAAAAAGTGTCGTAACGTATTTATCCACAACTGTACATCAATTCTTCTACAGCCATAAGTATAAAGCATCAAAGTGACATTTATATCTAACGAAAAATAAATTAAAAACAGTTTTATTTAAAAATAATATTTATTTTCGTAACAATCTTAATCTTTTGTTAGGTTTTCTTTGGCTTTTATTATTACGTTTTTCAAAAAAATGCAATAAATTGAGAGTGCTTTATACTTAAGACCAAGATTGTAATATAAAACTTATGTATATAGTTGTTATCTATATAGTTACTATCACTATTTTTTCTGAGTATTTGAACGAAACAAACATGTAGGTCTTTATCTGGAGAGCAATAATCCAGCGAGATACTTAGCAGCGTTTAATGATCAATCGGAGGAAGCGAGAGACCTCGCAAGATTCGGATATGCGGCTCTTCAAGGTACCACTATGTTCTTAAAAAAGTAAGTTTCTAAATAGTAAATTTCTAATTGCTAAATATAAGAAATTTTATGATTACCTCTACTCCGATCGTCCTGTCAGGTTTCCTAATACACCGTTGGAGTTACCCTTATCCCGAAATAAGCTTACCCGAAGAACTTTGCTAAAGCAGCAATGTCCACGAAGAGATCCACCGCGATGTCCACGGGCTAGCCTAAGATATAGAACGTCTGACGGCAGCTGCAACAACCTGCAGAATCTCTGGTGGGGTTCCGCGATGTCTGCGATGCAAAGGTATAAATATAAGGCGATGCATAATAGTAACATTAATAATTCTCGATCTAAATATTAAAAAAACAGAGACTATTTCCTTTCAACCGTGCTGAAAAATTATCGTTATACTCAGATTTCTTCCACCTGAATATGATGATGGCATTCAAAGCATTAGAAGATCGAAGAACGGAAGACCACTTCCAAGCGCTCGAGATATTACGAGCTTAATCCATGAAAACAAAGATGTACCTTTGGCTTCTATTACTCATATGCTAATGCAGTGGGGGCAATTTGTAGATCACGATTTGACAGGTGCATTATTGAAGAATTCTTTTAATTTCGTTTTTCAAGAAACAATTGTATAATTATATCCATCATGTTAACAGCAACCGGTCAAAGCAGAGGCTTTAATGGCACAATACCACAATGTTGCTTGCAAGGAGGCATGGGTTTTCAACCGCCAGAGTTCATGGTAATAAGCTAATTAGTGACTATATTATATAATTTTTGGTCGTAATATCGATATCATCCATTATATATATGTATACGTTATATACTATACATTATGTACGTTCTGAAGCATTTTACTTATATGGATAATACATACAATGTTGATGTTGACTTTGAATTTTGTACACTTCGATACTTCGATGATTACACTAAATTGTAATATTTATGAACTGTAACTTCCGTTCCGTTTTACACTCAAAAAGTTCGCGTTTTGATATTCTGTGTTAGAGGACACCAAAAAAATATACTTGACAAGAAGAAAATATGTATTATGCTTCTAATACACAGGATGTCCGATACTCAATGGTAAAGCGCTCGTGGGCAGGTAGAGTGGGCTAAACTGAATCGAAAAATCCTCTACCATTTTATGATCTTCGCAATAGTTATCAAGATACTAATCATTAAAAAAAAAAATTTACGCCAAGTACAGTAAAAAAGTATTGTACATAATCTTTTCTAAATTGGTCATTTTTAATCATTTTAAGCCTGTTTTATAAAACTTAAAATTATTTGGAAAGACAATGGCATTAAACTTTTGCTGCATATACTTTTGGATAGTTTAAAAGATTTATTTAAAAAATATTTTTGGTTTGGAATAAAATATTTTTGTCTCTATGTCTAATCAAATACTTGGCTGAACTTGTATGATCTCATATTTGTTTTTGAACAACTTTAATTTGTTAAAATAATATTTTTGGTTTAGGAAAGATGTAATGTACGATACTTTTTTATATACTTGATGTAATTTTTTTAAATGATTTTTTAAAAATAATTTAGTATCTTGATAACTATTGCGAAGATCGCAAAATGGTAGAGGACTTTCCAATTTAGTTTAGCCCACTCTATCTGCCCACGAGCGCTTTACCATTGAGTACCGGACACCCTGTATATACTTTTAATATATGTCAATAGCATCCAGAGTGTCTTCCAATAGCAGTGAATCTGCGCGACAGTTTCTATGGTCCTTTGGGCGTAAGATGTTTGGAATTTCTTAGAAGCGGTCCAGCTCCTAAGGAGGGCTGCGAATTTGGCCCAAGAGAGCAATTGTCCCAGGTGACCAGTTATCTGGATGCCTCCATGGTTTACAGCAGTAACGCCATGCACAGCGACAGCCTGAGAATATTTCGGAATGGTGAGTATATTACTTCTAATGTATTTTTGATGAAAAGGAAAGAAAAGAGAAAAAGAAAATAACTCCTTTCTGATTCATTACGGAAATAACAGTTTTGCTGAAGTATCTAAAAATTTAACTAGATACAGATCTGAAAATAATTTTATTGGACTATCAAAATAATCATGTATATGGAATGCTCAAATTAGTTGCTGCAATGTCAACAATTTTTTTGCAGCATTGTTTGTCATGTTTGTGTTTCCTACCTAATTATTTTGATAGTTCAACAAAATTATTTTCAGACCTGTATCTAGTTATTAATAGTATAAATTTTTATACTTCAGCAAAATTGTTCTCTTCCCATATTGAAATCCCTGTTTCTCAATTCAAACTCTGATTCTTCAGGGTTGCTACAATACGGAAGAATACAGTCGCGAAGATCTTCGCTTCTGAAACGTGAATCGGATTTGTGCAAACGCGGATCTTTGTCTACATCTTGCTTCCGGGCTGGCGACGGACGTCTAAGCGAGCAACCTGCTCTCACGTCCCTGCACGTCGTCTTTTTAAGATTGCACAACAGAATAGCCACAGAACTATCCGCCCTGAACTCCCATTGGAGCGACGAGAAACTTTATCAAGAAACTCGAAGGATTGTCGGCGCGGTGGTCCAACATATAACTTATCGAGAGTTCTTGCCGATCATTCTTGGTACGACAACTTTCAGTTCAGTAGTTGCTGTATTCACTCGAAAATAACATGATTGATACTATCGATAGTGTCGTAAAGACTAAAGAGATAAAATGTTTTAAAGTAATAGCTGGTAACGTTCCCCAGGCCTTCAGGTGATGAAAATCTTTGATCTGGAAATTCTTAAAAAAGGTTATTACGAAGGGTATGATCCGACGATAAATCCCACCATCGCAAATTCATTTTCTACAGCGGCTTATCGATTCGGACACTCGCTGGTCCAGCGGAGTTTTATTAGGTTTGATAGCGATCACAGGCCTATCTTTAATAGTAAGTAAAAAAATTATAGTAATAAAAATTATTATAATAATATAAATATTATTTAATATTTTTATTTAATACAATATTATTTAATATCATAATAATAATAAAAAGAAATGTATTTTAAAGTTAATTTTTTTAGGCGATCTATAATTCGTAATTTTAGAAATCTAACACGATTCTGTTTATTTCTGACGTATTCTAATTTTTTATGGCGTGTATTTGAACATTTTGATATATGTTTTAATTTTTTAATTGTTTTATATTATAGCATAGAACAGACTTTTATTTATAATTTAATATGTAATACGAAAAATATAAGAAATCAGAAGATACACATACATATATGAAACATATTTTAAAATACACGTCATATAAAATGATAAATAGATCTTCATTCTGAAATCTAATACAAATTACAAGTCATTCTATCTGAAAATCGTATATTGTTACCTAAAGCCTTCAACTAAGATCAATAATATACAACACTAAATATAAATCTTAGAAGAAAAACGAACAGAACTTTTATGAGCGTAAATATTCGAGACACGTGCACCGCGCTGCTGCATTGCGGTGTACTCCCTGTATAGTAGAGTAAAATACTTACAGACGTTGCAAAGATAGTTACGTTTGATATTTAGAGTAGTATATAGTACGTATAATACGTTCTATTCTCGGATTAAGCACGGATTTTGCTTAAAGATTTTTAATTATATTTTTACTTCTTAATTTGATATTGCATAATATATTAGATTCTTTTTTATATTTTTAAGTTTAATTTTTCGTATTTGTCAGACTTATAAAAATATTAAACCGTCAAATACAATTTTGAATCCTAATATATTTTGAATTTTAAATATATATTTAGACAAAATAACCATAAAAAGGCAATTAGTCTAAAACGTCTAAAAATTGCGGTAAAGTTTTTTATAATTCACAATTTAAAAATATTACGTTACGTATGCTTGATAAAATCAATCAATCCATTCATGAATGAATGGATTGATTTTATCAAGTATATGTAACATAATATTTTTGAATTAACTAATTGCCTTTTTATAGTTATTTTGTCTAAATATATATTTAGAATTCAAAATATATTAGAATTCAAAATTGTATTTGACAGTTTAATATTTTTATAAGTCTGACAAATACGAAAAATTAAACTTAAAAATATAAAAAAGAATCTAATATATTATGCAATATCAAATTAATAAGTACAAATATAATTAAAAAATTTTAAACAAAATGCCTAATCCGAGAATAGAACGTAAAATATAATTAAAAAATTTTAATATAACCATAATTGAGATCATTGAAATAAACATTATTAAACAGTATTTAACACAAAAATAAACACTGTCACAGATGTTTCGATCCACGATGAGTTCAGCAATCCTGCGAACCTGGATACAGTGGGATCTGTCGATCGCCTTGTCCTAGGCTTAGTGAATCAACCATGCCAAAGACGGGACGAATTCATAACCGACGAGATGACGAATCATCTTTTTCAAACGCCCGGTTTCGCATTCGGCATGGATCTCGCTTCTATCAATATCCAGCGTGGCAGAGATCACGGTTTACCGCCTTTCGTGCGATGGCGTGAACCTTGCGGCCTGTCCCCGATAAGGACGTTTGAAGAGCTTGAAAGAGTAATGTCACCAGGCGTCACGAGGAAACTTAAATCGTTGTACTCGTCGGTAGAGAACATCGATCTTTTCACAGCTGGTCTAGCGGAGAAGTCGGTGGTTGGTGGCCTGGTTGGACCAACTTTCGCTTGTATAATCGCTCAACAATTCAGTAATTTGCGACGTGGCGATCGATTCTGGTACGAGAATCCCAACAGCGAGAGTAGCTTCACCGCCAGTCAGTTGCAACAGATCCGACAAGTCACTCTGGCCCAGGTACTGTGCCGAACGATGGACGGTATTAAGACCATACAACCGTTTGTCTTCCTCGCGACAGATACATTGAAGAATCAACGTCTCGCTTGCGACGACTCGGCCATTGGGCATCTAAATCTAGAAATCTGGGCCGAACAGCCATCTGAATTCAACGGCGGTATCGACAACTCGCAGAAAGTTAAACGAACAGCGACCGACGCAAGCCCAGCTGTTTCTAAGTCGAAAGAAGAAAACATCAATGCTAGAAGGAAAGTCCATAATCCCGAACATACAAAGATTACAACAACAACAACAACTTCAAAGCCTTTTCAGAACAGTGTTAATCAAGAAAATAAAATCATCATAAAGAAACCGGGATTTGCGCGTCCGGATGGCAACAATGTCACTATTGTGGTCCAGAACAATGCCGTAAACGCCCCTGTTTTCGTAAACGAGGGTATTTACGGTTCGCATATTAAAACACAGGAACAGCTTCCTGTCACACCGAGACCGGTAAATCTTAACCATCCTATAATAAATCTGTATCGACCGCAAGGGAAACCTATACCAACGACTATCCCTCATTTACCAAGTTTTTACTTAGCACGTCAACCGTATGTTCCCTACACTTTCAACGATCCCCATAATCCGAATCCGCTAGTCTTTGGATACAGATCACCTAATTTCGCGCAGGATGACATCTTTTACGACAACTATTCCGCCACCAGTCCCAGACCTACTCTCTACACTTATTATACTAATTTACAGCAGGCATCTACTACCAAAATACCAGAGATTGACGGTTATTTGATCAATTACGCACTTTTGTCTCACGATTTACTTCCGGCACATACTCACGAAAGACCTAAACCTTTAGAAAATTTCGGACAATATGAATTGAACGATAAACCAGAGCATAATTACGATGGTCCTAAATTTCCAACAAATATTCGATGGAGCAGACCGAATTACGCATCGAGCATTGAATCTTATACACACAGACCAAATTATAATGAACTTAAACCTTCAATACGACCGAATTCCCGACCGAATTATGAAATAAATAATGAATCTCATCATATCCATAGACCAAATTACAATGGACATAAACCTTCAACGATTACGCGACCGAATTTTCGACCAAATTATGCATCAAATGATGAACCTTATCATACGCACAGACCAAGTTATGATGGGCATAGACCTTCAACGACTACACAACCGAATTATGCATCGAATAATGAGACTCCTTATACGCAAAGGCCAAGTTATGATGGATATAAACCTTCAACGACTACACGACCGAATTATGAAATAAATACTGAATCTCATCATACCTATAGGCCAAGTTACGATGGGCATAAACCTTCAACGACCATACAACCGAATTTCCGACCGAATTACGCATCGATCGATAAACCTTATCATACACATAGACCAAGTTATGATGGACATAAACCTTCAACGACCATACTCAATTCCCGACCGAATTACGCATTGAACGATGAATCTTATCACATACACAGACCAAGTTACGATGGACATAGACTTTCAATGACTACGCGACCAAATCTCCAATTGAATTTTGGAGGGAACGACAAACCATATCATGGATCAGATTATAATAGACCTCTAGACAACTCGCAACCAAATGAGAATTTGCATCATGCACAGAAACCAATTTATAGTGAATTTACATCCTTGACAAATTTGCGACCGGATAAACCGAATCAGGAACCATATGGCATACAAAAACCAAGCGATGTCGGAAATCTACATTTACAAATTGATGATTTAATTAACAGACCGAATGGAGGTTATTTTATTAATTCTAACAAACCACAACATCAGGGACAATGGAACTCGAACAATCAGAAAAGACCTAGCGAGAAACCGAATGATTACGATGCTCCTGATGCATATCAGAAAAAACCGAACGTTAAATTATCAAGTTATAGCACTGACAAGTCTCATCAAATATTATCGACTATTAGGCCAAGTAATGAATATAATTCTCAATTTTGGAAACAAGATTCACTGCATTCTTCTATCACGGATCCTGTACGAGCTGGACTTTATGAATCTATTCCGAGTTCTGGAACAAATATTCCTTCTTATCAAAAAGATATGTTTACAGATTCGAGTACTTCATCTTCTTCAAACGATAATTACGATCGATACTCCGATGCTACTCCGGTTTATCAAAAAATATTGTCATCTACTCAAAGCAGTTGGACAGACATTTCATATTTAGCACAAGGCAGTACTCAATCTCCTTTTAGCAAAGATTCATTTAGTTTACTTCTATCCAATCAGAAACCAACACACCATCCGATCTATCAGATAGATGATCAATCAAAATTATCTTCGAAAGTGTCTGTCGACAAATCCCCTATTGCTGTAGATTTATATAAACATGATTCTCATAAAAATCCTACAATATCATCCAATTTAAATAATCAGTTATTATCCAACACTCCGTATTGGTCAGAAACTTCAACGATTGGTGTTCACGTCCATAAACAAGAGGAAAATTTCAATCCTAAACCAACAAAGGTGCAAAGCGTCACAATTGTCGGTGAAACGATCGAAACAGTTCATCATCCTGGTCACTCCGGCTACATAACTCAACACGAAATTCCTAGCGAAATTCCAAGACCATTGACGCAGCAAATAAAGAACAATGCACCAATTACCAAGAAAGCTGGACAGTATTATTACGAGAAGAACGTGCTACATCGATATCCGGATGAAACAGTCGATCAAATTCCCAAAAGTAATCACCATTTGATGGACAAATCTGAGGAAGCGCTCATTCGGAATCGAGAAACGTCGTCTGAGAAGATTGCAGTAGAAGCACCGACTATTATTGACAATCGTAATAGCGTAACGAACGCTAAAGTGATTCAAATCAAAAGTAAATTAATGACGACACCTACGCTCGTGATCACTGATCAGGATAATCGCAGAGGTGACGTGATGGACGACCTCCAACATGCTTTCTCAGATATCGAAAGTACTGCATCTGGCAGGTATTTCTTTTAAATTTGCATAAACAACTGCGCTTTAAAACAGCAATGTGTTCGCAATGTGATCGCTACATGCTTTACATAATCGATTAATCAAACAAAGAAGTGTATATGTTTCATTGGGAAATATTCTATTTTGCAGTATCATAATATTTAAATATTTTTTATCAAATATCTGATTAAATTATATCTATTTCGCTTAAATTACGCTTGATATTCTTGAAATGTCAATAAATTTTTATACGTTTTAGAATTTCTATAAAACTTTTTTCTTTAGCAAGCGAGTTTCCAAGGTAATTTTACGCTTGCTAAAATATCTGACTTTTTTTTTAGAATAAATCGTTGGGCAAATTTGCAAGAGAATCTGAATTTATCGATGTTGGAAATACCCGCAGTTCTATCCAATGAATCAACGAGTGCCAAGAAATTACCTAAGCCCATTAAATCGCGGAGTTACGCTACTTAAAGTTCTACGTTTATTAATTCGTTCTTATTACTTTCGATTCTCGAATGAAATGGAAACAATAGAAAGTTTCAAAACCTTGTCTACTTCACTTATTAGTGTATATCGTTAAATTCGTTTATGATTTCGAAAAAATGCAGGAATAGTAAACCAATAGAATACATTATATAAAAAATTAGAAAAATATTTATTTTATACTTTAGGCTTTACTCTTATTTAGTAAATGTAAGTAAATATGTATTGTCGCATTCAATAAAGTATTTATATGTTCAGATGCTAACAATAAGTTTTCAAAAAAATATTTCTCTTTCTCTCTGCAGGATGCTCTTTTTATGTAAAATATCACATAATTTATAATGTTATAATATTTTCCTGTCATCGTGAATAAATATTATAAATAACTGAATTTGCGGAAAAACTTTAAATTAGCATTAGTTTAATTGTCTTCTTTTTATACATTACTAGCACTACAAACGCGCGCTTCGCGCTCGCTATTTAACACTTCTTATTATAATTTACAATTACATCACCTCAATACACACAACTGTCAAAATGCAATGACACACCCGCTTACACGAAGTAAGCGCAGCGAGACAACCAATCAGCATTGCGGAAAAGCGACAACAAATAATTTCGAGAAATGCGAGTTATCGACTTTACATGTACTTTTTTAGATAAGGAGACTAGCACGCAGCGCGCGCTTCGCGCACGCCATTCATAAATGTTTTTTTAATAATTAATATAAAATATTATAATATTTCGACTGATTAAAAAAAAATTAGAATTATATTACTTTTTACAATTATTGTATATACAATGTTATATGTATATACAGGGTGTCCTATTTTATATTTGACAGTCAAATATTTGAAAATCGCGAGGTTTGCGAGAAAAATGTTTCAGACAAAAGTTGTAGGGTTTTAAGGGGGACATAAGATGATAACATTGGTTTGACCCTTAGTGGCGTCGTCAAGGTCAGGATAAGATCACTTTGAATTTTTTAAATGGGACCCTCCATTTTTCATTGCATATTTTTGTAGCTTATTTCGAAAGCTTTCCAAAACACATAAATAAAATGTTTTTAATTAAGTAAATTTTGAGTTATAAAGCTTGAAAGTTACAGTACAACCCGCATTAACATTATCTAAGGTGTCCGTACAATGGCTGCAGAAACCTTTTGAATGTTGTTCAGAATCATGAGCTTGACAACGTGTGCCAAGGCAATGATCATTAAAGATTATTTCTCTTATTTTCATTTTTGAAAATTATTTTCATTTTTTGAAAAAAAAGAAACATTCTTAAATAATCATAACTTTGACACACGTTGTTAAGCTTATGATCCTAAACAACATTCAAAGGTTTCATTATTCGGACACCTTAGATAATGCTAATGCCGATGGTACTGTAATTTTAAGTTTTATAACTCGAGATTTACTTAACCAAAAAACATTTTATTTATGTGTTTTGGAAAGCTCTCGAAATAAGCTACAAGAATATGCAACAAAAAATGGGGGGTTCCATTTAAAAAATTCAAAGTGACCTTGTCCTGATCTTGACGACGCCACTCAGGGTCAAACCAATGTTATTATTTTATGTCCCCCTTAAAACCTTACAACTTTTGTCTGAAACATTTTTCTCTCAAACCTCGCAATTTCCAAATATTTAACTGTCAAATATAAAATGGGACACCCTGTATATACAGGGTGTTCATTAAGTTGCGGACCGGTCTAATATCTTTTGAAAAACTAAAAATTTCGAAAATCGCCGAAACACGTGAAACGATTTGTCAAAAAATCTATCTTTTGAGGGGGGTTGCAACCTCCCAACCCCAAGCGGGGTGCGTGGGGCGCGAGGGGGGAATAAAATCTTAAATGGGAAGAGAGGTCGAGGGAGCTCGTTTTTTCGAGACGAATTCAAAACACTATGCATAGAGGGCGCTGTAATCACTTTTCGCGAAAATATTTGACTTTTAGTAATTTTCGCGCATCTTTTAAGAATTGAAAGTTTTTTTCAAGACAAATCCAACGTAGGATCACAGAGGTCGATGCGATCATTTTTCACTGTTTTCAGTTATTATTTCATGCCTATTCCTCTGCTTATCGCCATATGCTTTCATCATTAACAGATAATTCCGTTCTCTTTCTGTTAATTTTGCCATTATGTACTACGTAACTATCTACAATTATTAATAATAATATTAATAATAATAATATTAATAATAATAATAATTATGATAATTTTTGCAAAAGAAGACAAAAGGAATTTACTATAACAGTTTGAATTTTAATACCGACTGAAGTTATTTAATATTTTCTCTGACAACACTTCACTTGCGCGAAACGTTTTTCTGAAAGAATAACTCATCCATCATCGAGTAGCTAACAATTTAACATTATTTTGGTCAGACTTCAGTCGGTATCATTATTGGTTCAAACTGTTATAGTAAATTTCTTTTGTCTTCTTTTGCAAAAATTATCATAATTATTATTATTATTAATATTATTATTATTAATATTATTATTAATAATTGTAGATAGTTACGTAGTACATGACGGCAAAATGAACAGAAAGAGAACGGAATTATCTGTTAATGATGAGAGGATATGGAAGGATAGAAAATGATCGCATCGCCCTCTGTGATTCTACGTTAGATTTGTCTTGAAAAAACTTTCAAATTCTTAAAAAATGCGCGAAAATTACTAAAAGTCAAATATTTCCGCGAAAAGTGATTACAGCGCTCTCTATGCATAGTGTTTTGAATTCGTCTCGAAAAGACGAGCCCCCACTCGACCACCCTTCCCATTTAAGATTTTATTCCCCCCTCGCGCTCCACGCACTCCCTTGGTGTTGGGAGGTTGCAACCCCCCTCAAAAGATAGATTTTTTGACAAATCGTTTCACGTGTTTCGGCGATTTTCAAAATTTTTAGTTTTTCAAAAGATATTAGACCGGTCCGCGACTTAATGAACACCCTGTATGTACATATATACCACAATTTATGTTAATTTAAATTACATTTGTTTTATAAATGACAAGTATTTTTAATTTTACTTAACCAAATCTCATTTTTAGCTCTTATTAATATAATTACACCTTCTTAAATTTTAATATTGAGTTTATATAAGTTGCCAAATATTTGATTAGACATAGAAACAAAAATGTTTTATTTTAAACTAAAAATATTTTTTTAAAACTGTTTAAATCATCCAAAAATATATGCAGCAAAAGTTTAATACATTATTTTTTCAAAAAAATTTGAGTTTCATAAAACAAATTTAAAGTGATTATAAAATGATTCATGATGGTTTATGAAATATGTAACGTACGATACTTTTTTATAAATTTGGCGTAACTTTTTTTTAATTATTAGTTTCTCGATAACTATTGTAAAAATTGCAAAATGATAGAGAACTTTTTGATTCAGTTTAGCTTATTTTATCTGCTCACGAGCGTTTTAATTATAATACACTTTTTTGATAGGAGACTAGCACTACAGACGCGTGCTTCGCGCGCGCTATTTAACTGCACATTTACTTTTTATTATATTGAAATTGATTGATTAAAATTATACATCAACCTCAATACATACAACTGTCAAAAGTCAATGCAATGACAACCGCTCACGAAGTTAGCGCAGCAAGAGAATCAATCGTATCGCGGAAAAGAGCCAACAATAAACTTCGAGACTTTAGAGATTTCGATGAATTCGACTATCGATTTAACATGCACTTTTTTAAATAAGACTAGTTTTTTATTAATGGAAACTAGCACGTATAGCGCGCGCCTCGCGCGCGCCATTCATGTATATTTTTTTATAATTAATATAAAATATTATTTATATATATAAATAATAATTATTTATATATATAAATAATAATGATTTATATTATACAATATGTCCTAAAAAAATTATTTATGAAAATAATACTATACATTTTTATAAAATTCATTTTTATGCTGCTTCTTTCTTAAGATATTTAATTTTTAAATATTAATTTGAAAAGTATTGTTAAATAACTAATAACTAATAATTATAATTTGAATAAGACCACTTATGTAAATAACAGAATTGATTTCAAGAACGTCTTTCTGCGGTCACAACTGGATCTTAGATGTTTAATGAATTTTATATGAATTTTCTTAACTCCATGTACAGTCGTTAAATTGTGCGTCGATTAAATGTTCGGACTTGCAATGCAATTATTAGTTGAGGCTAGAATAGAAAAATCATATTGATCTTTCTAATCAATTGATTCTTATAAGCATCTTAAAATACTAAAAAGAACTTATTATATTGATCTTCCTAATCAATTGATGCTTATAAGCATTTGAAATACTAAAAAAAATCTATTGCAAAAAATATTACCTCAGTCAGGATTTGAACCTGAGACTTTCTGATTTTTCGGGGCGGGTGTCTTAACCAGCTCGACCACCGGGATATGTGATAACGTTTATCGCAATAACCGGTATATACAGGGTGTCTCGTACTCAATGGTAGCTTGTGGGCTGGTAGTGTGGACCAAACTGAACAAAAAAGTCCTCTACCATTTTGCGATCTTCGCAATAGTTATCGAGATACTAATCATTCAAAAAAAAAATTTTCACCGATTATTTAAAAAGGTATATAACACATTACATATCCAATATATAATAACAATATAGTATTTGGCCTTGATCGTTAGCTTGCAAAATGTAAATATTATAAGGCCTATTATCAAGATAAGGCCTAATTCCCTCATACATTGAGTGTCCACAAATTGTTCATTCTATTTTAATACATTTTGAGCCAAGCTAGATTTTGAGAAAAACAGCAGCAAAGTAGTAGTATATTTTAAATTTATTATTCTTTTTATCTCTAAGCTACTTCGTTTTTCGTCTCGCATGTGTTGATAATATTCTTTTTACTTATAATTATACAGCTATTGTAATTAATTTATCTGAATATACTTTTATTTATTTTTTCTTCCCCTTTTGCTCCACCGCACCGGCTGGTAAATTATAGCGCCTTTTCACAAGGTTATATACTAGCGCAATACTTTTATCTAAATCGCATAGAGATTATGTAGTTGTCCATACAAATTTTGGTTAGGTGCGTTCCGACAACACAACGGCCACCATTCCCTTTGGACGCTTATACGCTTATAGCGCTCACGCTTTCGTTGCCCTACCTCGATAAAAGGAGCAATTGTAAGCACAAGTCATGACGTAATGATGACGTCATGAATGCCTTTTATGAGCGCTTATAATGTCAAAAGAAACGATATAAGCGCAGCTTATAAGCGCTTACAGCGCGTGAGCATCCAAAAGGAACGCACCCTCAATTACTACGCTCACAGTCACTCACAAATGCCAAAGGGAACGGCTTTGCTGACAGTCGTATGAGCGCTTAAATTTCAAAAGGAACGGCAGAAAATAGCGCTTATAAGCGTGAGCGCTTATAGCGCATGAGTGTCCAAAAGGAACGCCCTGGATAATGCTAATGTCGACGGTACTGTAACTTTCAAGTTTCATAACTTGAAAAGTATTTATTAAAAAATAACTTTATTATAGCGTTTTGGAAAGCTCTCGAGGTGTACTACAAGAATATGTAATGAAAAATGGGGAGTTCCATTTAAAAAATTCAAAGTGACCTTGTCCTGACCTTAACGACGCCACTCAAGATTAAACCAATGTTATCATCTTATGTCCCTCTCGAAACTCTATAACTTTTGTCTGAAACATTTTTCTCTCACACCTCGCAATTTCCAAATATTTGACTGTCAAATATAAAATGGGACACTCTGTATACTGTATACAGATTAGGGCTTCTAATTGTAAGTATTTGGATATCCAGATATTCGAATATCTGAGATCGGTTTCAATTCGAATCTCAAAACCGGATATTATTCCGATTATTCGGGTAATCCGGATATCCGAATTATCCGAATAATCGGAATAATCCGGTTTGAGTTAGAATCCGGATCTAAATTCGAATATCCGGATTTGAGTTAGAATCCGGATCTAAATTCGAATAAAATACATTCGCAATGTATTTTATTTTATTATAATTTTAAAATAACATAAATTTGTTTGTTGAAAAATGCATTTTATTTTATTTATTATATTTAAAGCTATACCCTTTTA